TTAATTATGAATAATATTCATTGTAACTAAGAAGAAAATACCAGTAGAAGTTCATACTTAATATAACGAACATCTTTACGATATAATCTTGTAACGCAGAAAGGAATATTCCACGAAAACCGAGAGATTACAGTTCAGTAGAAGAGTCTTGGATTGGTAGGACCGGTTGCAAGTACACGGGGCACGCAATGAGTAAAACAAGGACAGCGCGTATGCGAGACAAGGATAGGTTTTCATCTCAATATAAATTTATATTATATCTATAATTAATATCAATAATTAAAATTATATATTGACGGATTATCCCTCGTATAAGGAAAGTCTCATTAGCGTGAAAACGGTTGCAGGCAGTAAGGGGCACTCGCCGTATACGCAATGAGTAAGACAAGGATAGAAGATTTTGGCGACGGGCGACAGCAGCGCCATCTAGCGGACGGGCGTTTTCGAAGCTTTTCCCTATCCCCGCAATGAGTGCGACAAGGACAGAGCTAGTGTGCGACAAGGACAGAGATAGTCTCACTCTAGCCACCTCCTTGGAAAAAGCATCTCATCGGTCCCTGGTACCTACTCGTGAAGCATCAGGACCAAGGAGGTCTCCGACGAACACGGACGTATGACTGTGTGCGTGTGAGATGGAGACGGAAAATGGCCGCCGAATCGAACGCGGGACACGATAGAGAATTCGTTAATATCTCGACTGCCGCGAATGACTCGTTAACATTTGCGAACGGAAAATGTAGAATAGATATTCAGGTATGTTCTTGTATAACTACTGATGGGATTTTGCTTCGTGATAAATATTTATTTAAGATTTTTTATAATGTTGTTGGTGGGTGAGTCTAGAGTTTGTTGACAGGTCTCCAGTGAATAATTAATTTTCTATTTTTACAGATATAATTGGCGAACGTTTTTGATTAGGGAAGTTAGAGTGGATATATAGAGACATTGCAGTATCGCAATTAGGAGGATTTGGGTTGTAATTAATGAGTTATTCGGGATTCTTGGATGGGTTAGTTGTTCCTCCGTGGTTAGCAATGAGTTAGACAAGGAGAGATGTGTAAGTGCGAGAAGGATAGAGATAGTGTGTGGTGCCATCTATGGAGGAAGTTCTGGACTAATTGGTTATTAACTTGGGAATTTTATTGTAGATGGCGCTAATTCCGAGGGAGATTGGATTTTGTTCGGATAGTTTTATTGTTAAAAATTGATCGACTATTTTAGAGTTTAGGAATTGAAAAATGTGAAATGGAGCTTTTAATACTTCCCCTGCAATTTTTTATTGAACCGCGTTCATTATTTATTTAATGGTTCTTGATTGTCCGTCGGTAATTTCTGATTTTTGGATAAATTTCAATTACATGTTTAATTTACTCTCGTCGTCGGTATAATTGGTGAAAATTTGTGATTGAAGAAATTATTATTATATTTGACGACATGTTTTATTAATTATAATTAATTGCCTGAGTTACCGACTGATTACACCGATTTATCAGTGAAGTTACTAATCAATTAGTATTCATTCGTTGCTGGTAGATGGCGCCACTTCGTAAATTCGACTATCAACTTAGGCTGAGACTATGATGATGGCGCTAGTATCTAAAGACCAGATTTTATTGTGAAATGATTCTTGCTAAAATTTATTTGGTGTCTTATTATTTGGAGGGTGATGATCATTTGCGTGACGTATTCATATTTTGGAACGTGTCTTCGTTAAAAAAGGACTATCTGATCAGTTTAAAATAATTGAATAATTCATAAAAACTCCAACCATGGAATACGTCACTTTAAGGGAGAGCTTCCATTTTAGCTAATTTCAGATTCAAACAAAGTTTCAATAGTGTGAACATAATCACGAATTTTTTGTATACTGAAAAACTTCAGTTCGTTTAAATGTTTAATGTGTGGAGTTAAGTAACAAAAATACTGTAATCTTTACGGTTTTAAAGGAGATGTTATTCCAATGTGCTCGTTTATACTGATACAAGTAAGACATGGATAATACAGAATTATTATTCTTTGACACATTTTCGCATGATATTTCAGAAGTAAGTACATTATTATGGTTATATTCATGTAATCAGACGTATAACGTTAATGTCAATTTTTAAATGTCTTTTAGGAACTTAACTTAGATTTAGTACAGTTCCCCAAACCTGTATATATTAGCGAAGTTAGAATTATTCCTCTGGGTGCTAGAGTACAAGCAGATTTTCCTGGAGGTGTTCGTTTAGGGTAAGTTTTATTCATTCACATAGCATAACTAATAATTTTAATTAATTAATACGATACTTTATTTATAGTGCAACAAATCCATCTCAATTTGAGATTGAATTTTTTGTAAATGACTTAAGTAAACCTGGAGCATCTACCTTCGAGTCTCTTGGAGAGTTAGAATATAAACAAAATATTCATATTCAGTTAGAATGTGAAAGGAAACAAATACCAACAGATGGATTGGTATTAAGAGGATGGTATACTACGATTACTTTAGCTGTATATGGAACATTAACAAAGTCTTTGAATAATCCACAAGAAATTATTAATTCAACTGCTGGATCTGCAACTTGTGCAAGTGGTTTGGAAGAAGTTGTAGAAAGTACTGCTCAAATAGCGGAACAACAATCTGACTGGTACTATGAAAATCAAGCACAGACAAATTCAAGTGTAAGTAAACACGATAATATAACAATTGCAAATTGATAAGATATCACATGTAAAATATTTATATAAAATTAATAGGAAACATGTGTAGCTGCAACTCCACCACCTCCTATACAACCAATACAAACAGTAGAATCATCCAGAAATTCAACATCAGATACTGGAAAGGTGGATGTGGGACATTGGGAAGAAGACAGTGCAAATGGTACTTTAAAGTCAGCAAAACGTCCTTCTTCGCCACCTTCTGAATCTTTAGTATCTTTAAGTCCTGAATCCATATCAGCGGAAGAAGAGGAAGGAGAACAAGATGCAGGTGAACAAGAAACAGGAGAACCATTTGAACCTATATTATCCGACGAAGATATAATGGCAGATGATATACCACCTGCAACAGAGTATGAATGTGAAAATGTTCAATTGGACGATATCTATTCTTTGACTCCTCCTGATCTATTGGACTTGGAAAAATTAGTGAACATTACTGACGAATACTCTGTTAACAATGAAATGTTAGATAAGATACATGAAATATTTCAGTCATTATCAAAATCAGTTCTACATTTTAACAATGCATCAGGACAGGAAAAAGAGACATTTGTTCACAACTGTGAATCGTTATGCGCGATACTTAGTCCATTTCATTTGAATAGTGCTGACTTTGATGACTTGACAAACATTGTAAATGCAGGCTTAGATGTGGACCTCGCACGTGCTCAGCCTCAGCCAGCTTATAAAGTTCGTCATGTAAAAGTTGGTGTACGATTAGCAGAAGCTTTGTGTAAGCTTCCGCAAGGTCCAGAAATACTATTAAAAGTAGATGCTCCGTACAAATTGTTGGCGTTATGTATGCGTGAAAATGTAGCTCTTCCTGTGAAACTCTCCGCTCTTCGTACTCTGGACGCTGCATTAATAAGTCCTATTATTGTTCAAGAATTTCTTAGATCAAAAAGTAATTTGTATAAAAACGCTTTAATGATGTTAGAAACAGCTAAGTTAGCCAGATTGAAATACGCGTTAAGTTCGTTACTACGGAAAGTACACGTTTACGAATTTCTCGAGGAAATTATCGAGCTTGATGTACTGGGTGTAACTGAATTGACGAACACTTATATATGCGCCCCTACAGTAATGGCCCAACCAAAACGTCAACTTCCAGCTGGAGCTCAAATGGAATTCGAACGCGAGCAAAACCGAAATCCGCGTTGTCATCTACTGGCATATTTCGAGCATCATAAACTTTTATATCACATTCTAGTCGCACTTACTTCTCCAAAATCAGACTTGAATTTAATAAGAGCCACTCGACATTTTCTATTACGTATCTCTGATACAAAGGAAGGTTTACTGTATTTACTGAAGGAACCAGACGTTACGAAATTAATTTTAAAAGCTTTAAAATGTGAATTGCCTGGTGCAGGATCTGTTTTAGCTTGGCGACTTCAAGTTGTCCAATGTTTGTTACATTTGAAACATGTACCTTCTGATTGGTTAGCCTTAAAGAAGCTTCATTCTTTTCTAACGTTCCCTGAAGGTTTACAAGCTGTAATAACAATTCTTTCTACAGGGGAATTTATTGATATATTAATTCCCTATCTGTCTGATCCAAATTTATGCGAATTTTCTGCAGAAATTATATCAGCAACGATTAGATACTCCGATCGAGTAGAGATATTTCAGAATCGTGCTGCAACTATTTTGGACAAATCACGAGCCCAAGCTGTGTTGAAAGATGTTACTTCATACATAACTACAGCTGCGCAACCGTCCCATTGGAATTATGGAGATGTTTCTCCACTTGTTACATGTATCAGGAAAAATGCTGATAAAGCAGCATCTCTTCCAGGCCAATTAATTACAGCATGTAGGATTTTGTACTATCTTGTTTTCCCTTTTAATAACGATGTGGATCCATTAGAACCTTACACTGAATTGAAATATAGGAACGCGTTAACTCAGTTGTTCGCTGCTGATGGTTTAACAGCTCTGATTGCTGTGATGGCAAATATTTCAGAGTTTTATGAACAACCATTTTTGCATCGCGCTGCCTTGACGGGACGAAGAGGCTTAGCATTAGTTGCATTACTTCTTCCGTGTGTGAAATTAACAAGAGCATTATTAGAACGTCTCGTGAAATATATGGCAACTGATTTTAAAGATCTGACAGCTGTGGTGCCACTCCTGGGTGTTTATTCACTGGTCGAAGCTATTCCTCCTGTTCAAATTGTACAGATATTATCCGAAGAAATAGTGGGAGCTCTTTTAGTATTTACTCAGGCTGTGGATTCAGATGGATCGGGGAATGTAGCAAAATCCTTATGGACACAAATGTTAGGTGAAGTTCTAAAAATGGTTTCTCTTAGTCCATGTAATTTTATACCTGGTTTAAAACTTCTAACACGATTATTACCGCCTGTTCTCACCTTGAAAGAAACGATAACTGAAGATGCTACTAGGCTCTTAGGTTTCAGGAAATTGTGGTCCGCTCATTTACAAGCTCAAGCTAATAACTTGACTGAAACACTGCGACTACTTTGTGCTAGCTGGAATAAAGATTTATTGATTCTTCTTTCAAAAGTATGTATGCAATTAAGCGACTTAGCAGCACCAACTGCGCTACTCGTAGGTAGATGTTTATTAGATGGTATAATAGCTGCAGCTCCTCTAGAAAACAATGTCTTGATTCTAGCATTACTGAGTGAACTTGCAAGACACGCACCTATGAAAGCAACACTGTTAACTTTAACTAATCCTGCATCTCGAGCACAAGTGAAGTCTGACCAAAAATATCCCCCTGTTATCGAGATGATGTGCACAGCACTTAAAAATACAAATGATATTAGAATGCAATATGAAATTCTTGATATTTTTGAGACATTGTGTGACTGTACACTGAGTTTAATGCAAGAAGATGCTAATGAACCATTTGAAAAAGGATTAACACATTCAGTACCAAGTAAAGAACCGCTTCTATCAATTTTGGCAGCTCTCATTGATATATTAGCAACTAGTACAAAATTCGAATCAGAGGTACTACAAAGTACACTTCGTATACTTACATCTCTTAGTAGTCATAACTATGGTTTATATCATGTAAAAAGCTGTTTAGAGAATAATCCTGATGCATTACGATCGTTATTAGAACACATCTCTGCGTTAGAGGATTCCGAGGATCAACACGTTGTAGATTTAACCATAATGTTCTTAGAGAACTTAATTACATCTGAGTCACAAGGCAGATCGTTGTATCTCCGTGTACAGCAACTAGCATCATTGATATCGTGGGATAAGAACGATCATCCTCTAGAGAAGATAAAAAGAGCACAAGAGTTAGTAGAAATTTTAAAGTCTACCGAAGATAAAGAAGAAAAAGAACCAATTCCAGAAATGTTAGAACCGTTATTGCCAACTCCAGAAGCTTTGTTAAATCAATTTTCTCAAAGATGTCTACGAACTCCAGATCCAATATCCAAACGACCAAAGAAATTTACATTTATGTCGCCAACTCAAGTAGTAACTGAAAATACAATAGACCTTTTAGCTCTTGCGAGTGAATTACTTCCTGCAGATTTTAATTTACTGGCAGAGGCTCAAAATTTGTGTTCTAAAGCACCTCCAGATGATGCTACTCAACCACTACAATCAAAATGTCAAAATGATGAACAAGAAACTAGGGACATACAAAAGCAATCAACATCTCCTGTATCAAAAGTAAAACAACCATTTGGTGAGTTGGATATACAAGTTTATTACACGATAATCAAATTTCCAGTAAATATTAATTATTATTCTTATAAAAAATCTATACATCTGTAATCACGTATATTCATTGTTCTGTTTTTACTTTTCTGTCACAGTTACACCCATGCGAGGGAGAACACAGTTTACCAATTCTCTAAGAGGTGGTCCAGTAGTGGGAGGTGTAGGCAGAGGTGCAGATCCATTTAGATCCAGACCACCGAACACTTCACGACCTCCGTCTCTTCATGTCGATGACTTTGTAGCATTAGAGACATGTGGAGCACAACCAACAGGACCTACGGGTTATAATAAACTTAGTATTCGTGGTACTTGTCCTTCGCGAGCGATCAATGCTGGAACAAGAAGTAGACCATGGGCTCAAGAAACTCGACCACCGTATCTTCGCTAATTATACTAATTTAAAAAAAAAACGAGATACTCGCTACCAACAATATTAGGTTCGAAATTTACCAATTATAGTAAGATGAATATTTTATAATAACGAATTTAATGTATAATACAATAAAACTTGTATAAAACTGTTTTCATTTTAATAAAACTATTTGTATATCCTAAAAAAAATGTTTTAGTGATATACTTGCAGTAGTATTAGCTTGCTGGCCTTGATACTTTGACAATAGAATTTGATTGTATTTTCTCTTTCCATTCTTCATAGAATATTTTAAAACTGTTGTACTCTCTTTGTGTTTTTTGTATATCTTTACGCATGTATCTATTCTGAAATATCAGTCAACATCAGCACAAATACTGTTTAATAAGTTACATACGTTCATATTAACAGTGAAAATTATTTAGATACCTTGTTCTTCATGAATTGTAATATCAATTGTTCAAACTTTTCTAAAGTTTGAAATATATACGGAGATGATTCCACATCGTTTTCTAACATATAGTTCATCAAATATTGTAAGTATTTAAAGTTCCTCCGCTGAGCTGCAGAGAATATTAATGTCCCTACAATTACACAGTTTGGTTTAAAGCCAATATTATCCATTTGCTTTAAAAGTTCTCTTCCATACTTTTCTTGTGGACATCCCAGGGCTAGTACTCCAAATGTCATAATATTTGGTGATAGATGATGCCTCTGTACTTCATATAAAACATCCTGAAATGTAAATTAATAGAATAGGAAAAATGATACGCTATAATTTATTAAATTCTATTCATTAACAACTTACTTTTGCTTCTCTATAGAGTTTCCTAATATTTCTTCTCTTAATAAGCATATTGTAGAAGCTTATGTCTACTTCAATCTTTTTCTTCTCTACATATTTCAGAAGCTGTTCTTCTGCTTTCAAAGAAGGTGGTAGTAATTCCATAAACAATGTCATTGTTTTAACATCAGGGATTACATTGTCACTTTCCATTCTTTCCAATAATTTTTCAAATCCTCCAAATAAAATCAATCGATTCGTTTGTAATATCTTATTCAAATTCACAGATATTATTTTATTTCTATCAATATTATTTTCACTTGTATCAGATACTTCTGAGTCAATATTCTTTACAATAGAACCTTTGCTGCTGTCTACTGATTGATCTTTAATCAAATCAATGACTGAAGTAACCAATTGTGGTGGAGAATTTAATAAATCTGATTTTCCGGTTTCATTAAGTACAATTTGAGTATTAGGTAAATTTGATATCAGAAAATCATTAAGTTTTAGGTCACCAAAGTTTGTATCTCTGAGTGCTCGAAGAAGTAAGTTATAATGAGTTACAGTTGGTGTCATTTTATATCTTCTCATCTGATGCCATAAAATTAAAGCATACTTTAAACCACTTTTTTTATTACTTATTGCTGCATGAAAGAGAACAGCATATATATCGCTTGTAACAAACCTCTTATCCTTTGCTTCATCTGCTATTTCAAAAGCAGTTGTAATTTGTTTATGCCAACTGTAAGCTTTTATAAGACTAATATAATGTGTCTTATTTACAACAACTTTGTTTTCATAAAAATCTCTTCTCAGATTATACAAATATTCTAATGCTTTACTTGTATCTTTTGATAGAGCGCAAGCATTAATTAAGCTATTATATATTGCTTGATTAGGAACTAAACCACTTTTCTTTACTTTGTTAAATAGCTTAAAACATTTGTCCACCTCTCCTTTATGAGCAAACCCATAAATTAATAAACCATACATATACAAGGAAGGCTTGTCACGGTTCTGTTTCACTAAATCTAATACACTTAATGCTAGTTCCAGATTTCCTTTACTTATATGATCTTTAATAAGTCTACAATATTGAACTGGAGTTAATTTTTGCCATCTTGGAACTCTTACATCATTTTCTGTGAACCTTTCTTCTTTTTCTTCTGCTTCATCCATTTCAACTCGCTTATATTTTTCATATGCAAGATCCCCAAATACATTGGCATCTTCTGGTACTCTGTTTGTACATAATTTTCTGTTCCAATCGGGCAAATACAAAAGACTTCTTCCCATTTTTACGTGTGGACAGCCACTTGTATTAGATTTATTTTCATTACTGCATAATGTGCAACAGATAGGACTTACTGTCGTAGTTGTATAATTGTTGTACTTACGTGCATTTAATGTGTATAAATAATGTTTCTTTTGTTTGATATACTGAACATAACCATCAATGTAACCTAACAAGGAGTTCGATTTCAAAAAGGAATTCGCTTTCGATAACAACATATTGATCATATTACTTGACTCTTGTACAATTAATTCAAGAAAATGAAATTTTCATGTAATAAATAGTTCCAATATCATTAATACAGAACAATTTGTTTTCCTTGCGCGAAAACATGCACTCGTTAACACATCATATTGCATTTGTAATTTCAAATTTTACAGTAGTATTTTCGAAATACACGAACTGCCTGAAATATATATTAAATATAGAATTTAAGTAAAAACAGAAATACAGTAGTTCGATAGTACAAAAGAACTTACTTTTTAGTATTATTTTCTTAAAAAGAAGCGGGAATTTATTGAATACAACACAGTCTTGGAAAAAGGGGAGAACAAAGATTCTACGATATTTCAAAAGTTGAAAACAACATATTTTTATTAAAAATAAGCTTGAATCAGAAGACATTGAACGTAGTGCGCGCATTGTTTATACATTAATAAATATAAAATAATAACTATTAAATTTAATTACGCTTAAAGTTAATGGTAAAATTGGTACACTAGCGCTGAATACGCTCATCGGAACGTTGTACCTTCCAGTGAGCCGCGTCAGTTCGATAAAGACCACAGTGATTTACAAAGAGGAAGGCAAAAGATATTGAATGTACCGTCAAATGCGCCTTCGATCGAATATAATTATTTCTGAAGCACGAGTTTATTACTGAAGGAAGATCTGCTCGATTAACGAATTATTGTGTGACGAGAAAAGATGGAAAAGACGGACGAAAACGAGCACAACGCGTTGCGAGAGGTTTTAAGTGACGAGGAATTGAAAAGAATCCCGGAAGGATTTGTTAAAAAATTAAACGCATTCTTCAACGAAAAATTTGAACAATATATTACGGCTAAGGCAGTTTTCCAAACCTACAAGAAAAACTTTGGTAAGATTCAATTGAATTTCGCACTTTTTGTTGTAATAACGATCGCCCGGTTTATTTACATGGGCAAGTTAACCTCTTCTTATGTATACAGGGTGTCCCATTTTAATTCTTCGACGTGATTGTCTACAAAACCATTCATTATTTAAAATAATGCTTCAAATAGAATTTACTCGGAGAAATAACATTGCATACACAGTCGTCTCCAAACGGATCTTATTTAAAAAATATATTTTTCATTTGCTTGTTTGAAAATTTGATAAACTGTTAATATTCTTACATTAAAATATTATTTTATTAAAAGAAAATGGTAAAAACAAAATTTGGTAGTTTGAAACATTGTTTTAAATAATAAGAAATTCAAAAGATAATTGTATGGAGAGATTAAAATAAAATACTTCTTATACATGTTTTGTTTGTTCATGTCAGGAACATCTAGCTTTAATCATTGTATGCTTATGTTTTAAGACCAAACTTTGGAGAAATTACAAAAAGATTTAACAGAAGAAAAGACAAACTTTGAAGAGTGCAAGGAAAAATTGACAATATCAGAGAAATATACTTCTGAATTACAAAGCAATTTGGATGAAGCCAAGAACGAAATATTGAAATTACAAGAGAGTGTTAAAAGGTATTTTTGAAGAATGTACACAATGAACGTGTAATATTACAGATAGAAATAAATATGTAACATTACAGATTAGAGAAGGACAATGCAGACTTACGTAGACATAGGGACACTGTTGTGGATGAAAGGGATACATTGCAGTTACAGGTTGAAAGACGGGATACTGAAATTGAAAGAATGCACACTGAATTATCTTCTCTGGGAACACAACTTCAAAATGCTGTTGCTGCCAAATGTCAAGCTTTAGCAGAAACAGAGGAAATTCGAAGTCGTGACATGACTCTTGAATTTAAGTATGATATCTCTTATTTGTATGCGAAATGCAATTATCTCAGTTAAGTATGATAAGCAAAATTTTTTAAGGGAGAAACGGTTAGAACAAGAAAGAGCTTTGATTCAACAACAAATGGCAGGACTTGAGGAAGAATTAGCAAAAAGAATGTCAGAATTGCAATCAACGAGAGCAGAAGCATCTGCACGATCTCTTTTAACTGACACCCGTTTGTCACAACGCGACGAAGAGCTACGTATTGCTAACGAAGCAGCGGCACAATTACGAGAATCTTATGCGTCTCTTCAAAGGCGATGTAACGAACTCGCTCAAAAACTAGAAGAACAACGTACACAAGAAATTTCTATGCATGCTTCCTATAGAGAAGAAATTGGCGCTCAAACCAGACTGGCAGATCTTTACAAAGGCATGGCTGATGAAGCTAATGCAAAAGCTGAGGAATTTACCAACGCAGTTAAAGAACTTCAAGAGTTATTGGAGCATGCTACTGATCAATATGGAACACTAGAAACTACGCACAACCAGCTTCAATTACAACACAAAGAAGAATTGGAAGAGAAAGAACAGAAAATAGAGGAATTATCGAAAGAATTAGATCATGCAAACGAATTACTTAAAAACATTAAGCAAGGTAATTATTTACTTCGTTAAGAAGCTTCGTTAAGAATGCACTTTTTAATTGCCATACTTTGTTTTGCAGAACGACTGGATCAAGCTGTCGAACAACTTGCACCAACAGCAGCTATAGCTAACCGCGTGCTTAGGAAAGGTCTGAGTCTTACTCAAATATATACACAGTTAGTCGAAGTAACGAATGAATTAACATCAGAACGCGAAGAAAATGAACGTTTGAAATCTCAGATGGATGTTATTTTACGCGAATTGGAAGAAAAAGCACCTATTTTACAGCAACAACGCGAAGATTATGAAACAGCTATGACTAATATCGCGACGCTCACATCGAGACTAGATGAACTACTAGCAGAGAATCATAAACTGCAGGAAACGACAGACGAAGCGAATCGTATTGCTAAACATCATACTAAAGAGAATCAAAGATTGAAGACAGAGTTGTCAGACCTAGCACGGCAGGTGTGCTATCTTTTGAAAGAAGTTCAAGAGAGTAGAACCGGAGCAACTATGCATTCGAGCGAGTTTTCTAATTCAGTGGACATGGACAATCTTGTTTCGTCGGAAATTATTAGCAAAAAGCTTGTCACTTTCAAGGACATTGAAGAATTGCAAGAAAACAATCAAAAGTTGTTATCGATAGTTCGCACACTGTCATCGAGGCAGGAAGAAATTGAAAGAGCAACCGATGAAATAAATTCTGGCGAAATGAAAGAAAAATTGGATAGGTACGTACTTTTATTATATACCCGATTTACATATTTCCAAATAATTTTGTTAATTTTTATTCAAATTATGACAGATACCTAGAACAATTGAAGGATATGCAAACTGCTCAAGAAAGACAAGCGAAAATGTTAGAGGGCCTTCTAAGGCAACGGGACATGTACAAAAATATGTATCAACAATGCTTGAAACAGACAAATGTAACAGAGAAGAAAGAACCTGCAGAAACGCCTGAAGAAGACACAAAGGAAGCAGAGGAAGGAAAGTTCGTTCCTAATGAGTCGCCCAACGTCGCTCCAAGTGATACTAACACAGAAAAAGAATTAAAGAAACAACTAACAGAATGTGAATCTAAATTGAAACAAGTCACGGATGAATTCGGAACTTACAGGAAAGAAAGAACAGCCCATGAACGAATGTTGGGAGAAGAAGTCGAGAGGCTTAGAAAAGAAGCGGAAGCAAGTTCAGATCGTTGTTGCAGATTAAAAGCACAATTAGATTCTTCCAATGATAGGTTCAATCTCTTACAAGCAAATGTCACTTCTTACAAGTCTCAAATAAAGGTGCTCGAAGAGAAATGTTTTAATTATAACGTAACAATCGGTACTACGCATTTGTTAACATAAAAACTATTAAATTTATAAAAGTGTTCAAGTCTGTATAATTATTGGAATTATTTCTTCCACAGGCAAGCATGAGCAAAGCTTAATGATTTTGAAGGACGAGGCTTTATCGGCTCAAACGCGTTTGTCTCGAGCAGAAGTGCAATTAGAAAACATACGACAGGAGAGGCAGCTTCTACGTGATTCGGAAAGCCGTCTTCTAAAGGAACGCGAAATATATCAGAGAGAGCGTCAAACGCAAGCTTTGTTACGGGCAGACGTTGAGTCTATTAAAGCTAGTTTAGAACGTGTTCAAGCTGAAGGTCAACTACGCGCTGAACAACGTTTAGATGATGCAACGAGGGAGTGCGCAGCGCTAAGGCGACGATTACAGGAAGAACAAGATAGATTTAGAGAATTATCAACTCATTTGGAGAGACAACTAACCACTGCGCAAGAAAGACTGGCGGAGGAACGCAACATAACGGAACAAATTAGAGCAGAATTGGAACAGACCCGCCAATCCGATTCTCAGAACACACAGCGCATAGAAGAGCTTAATACTAAGTTGAGGCAAGCCGTTACTCATTCAATATCGAAGCCTTTCAATGGTACGTGTACGACATAGGGTTACATTTTTTATAATTAGTTAGTTGATGATTTTATGTAAAATTCTGTGGCTACTTAAACTTGCAGGTGACGAAAATCTCGTAAAGAGATTAAAAGAAGTTGAGATACAGCTTGGAGCAGCACAGGCGGAGTCAAAGTCGCTGTCGGAACAATTGAAAGCCGCACGACAACAAAGCCAACAGTATTGTGACATAGCTGAAAGCGCGGAGGCGCAATTAAGAGAGTTAACTGCGCAACATAATAAATGTAAAGAAGAATTAGAAACAGCTTTAAAAGCAGCGCGCGTAGAATTAATGTCCCTTCAGAGGGAGCAAGAGTTAGTAAAAGAAGTAGCGGAAGTTTCTAGTGGTAGACAAGAAACTGACTCAGAATTAAGAGAAAAATTAGCTGACGCAGAAAGAAAGCTTGAAGAATTAGACGAACTTAAAGGAGAATTAGAGATTGTTAAAAGTGATCTGCAAAGTGCTTCGTTAACAGCGAAGGAAGCTGAGGAGAAGTATGCGAGAGAAATGGTTTTGCATTCGGCAGACCTTCAGGTAAATATAATAAACAGCGAAATCTTATAAGCTATTATAAATTCGTATTTACTTTATACCATTTCTTATCTTTACTTTTAGACACTAGCTAAGATAAAAGAGGATGCTCGAGTAGTAGAACAAAAAATTACAGCGTTAACTCAGGAGAGGAACAGTGCTGTAGAAGCTTTGCAACTCGAGAGGGCAGCTTGTCAAGAAAGGGAAAAGAAACTGCAATCAGAGATGCAGGAGATGCAACAACGGATAGACGATTTAGATTCACAAAATGCTATTCTACATACTCAAATTCAAGAATTAAGTGATAAAACAGCGATCATGCATAGTCAGCAAACTAAGATGAGTGGTCGGGAAAGTCCTGACACTAGTTTAGAAGCGATGAATCGTAGTTTTAGCGGACTAGAGGACGATTCAAAATCTGCAGAACAATTGTTGAGAGTTATGAAGTATTTGAGACGCGAGAAGGATTTGGCAGTAACCAAGTTTGATGTTCTTAGAGCGGAGAATCTTAGATTAAAATCTCAAGTGGAGGTCTGTATTAGATTTACTAAAAAATTTATAATGTATTGCTAACAGAAGCATTTGTTTATATAGGTATTGGAGAAAAGATTGAAAGAAACAGAAGCTGTTCTTAGCTCAGAAAGAGAAAAATCCGAAATCGATGTAGTAACCACATCTAAACATGCGGAACTGCTACGAAAAGTTGAAACCTTGAATGCGATTACGGATTCTAACAGAATATTGAGGGAAGAAAGGGATAGTTTAAGCGGGAAAGTAGTCGAGCTCACTGCGAAGGTTGCTGCGCTTTCCGAAGAGATAGGTCCGCTTCGAGATTCAACGCGGGACTTGGAAGTAAAGACTGAAGCTTTGTATCAAGAGAATACAAGCCTCAAAGCTGAGGCAACTAGATGGAGGCAAAGAGCCAATGCATTGGTAGAAAGAGCTAACAAAACAAGTCCTGAAGATTGGCGTAGATTGCAAACTGAACGCGAGAATCTAAGCAAATTGCTCACGTCCGAGCGAGAAACACATGCGAAACGGGCTGAAGAAATGAATCAATTGAAAACGGAAAAATCGAAGTTGGAAGAACAATTGCTTCAGCTTCAGAAACAAGTACAAACTCAAGGTGAACAAATTCAAAAAACTTCTGACGAGGCTCGCAAGTTGAACCAAGATTTGACTGATGCTCTTGCTGATTCTTCTTCCAAAGCTAAAGACTTGGTGACATTGAAAAAAGAACTTGGGGACAAAGAAGCGGTTTTGAACGACATTAAGAACAAGGAGATACAGATTCGAAAAATAGCAAAGAAATATAAGACTCAATTCGAGGAACTTGCAAAAACAGTAGAGGAAGAGAAGACCAGATCAGAAGAATCTCGAATGGCAGCTGGCACTTCTGCCAGCGAGGATACTTCGCAGGTGTCTCAGGAACGTGAAGACCAATTGCGGGAGGAAGGTCGAGCAGAATTACGCCAAGCGAATATAGAGTTAACTACAAAGGTCGATGAATTATCCAGACAAATGGAAACTGTTCAGAACGAAGCTGAATTACTGAAGAAAGAAATTGATACGATGAATAAGAGTAGCGTGGAGAAAGAAGAACGCGCGAAGCAAGTTCTTAAAGGTGCTAGAACGAAGATTATGCAGTTGACGGAATCGAAGAAAATCTGCGAGAAAGAATTACTTGACTTGAAGGCGAAGCTTGAAACAGGTACCTCTGAATCAGATACCACTGAACACGATGCTAGACTAGTAGCTCTAAAATCTCAGATGGAAGGTAGAATTTCTCGGTTGGAACATGAAAAAGCAGAGATTCAAGCGGAGAAGGAAACTTTGGTGCAAAGAGTCACTCAGTTGCAACGGCAGTTGGCTGGAGTTAGCGGAGTTAGCGCTACTACCGAGCCGCCTACCGCTAACATTAAACCAATGTCCGCTAGAGCTGAAACTCCATTAGCCAGTATTCGTCCGATGAGCGTTGTCGTGCAATCTAGAACAGCTGCGGTTCTCCCGACCACTGCTAGCGCACCAGTTATGGTAGCACCTCACCAGCAGCAGCAGTCACAGCAACAGGTAGTGCACACCACCGAAACAAGTTCCCCAACTAGTAGTCTTCCAGACTTTCAACCAGCCAGCACCAGCAGTTCGTCGCAAACAGCACCTAGTACTTTACGTCAACTCGTTGTACAGCCACAGTTAAGCGAGTCAGCAGAGTCGACGCAAAGAGAAGATCCGGAGAGTGCCGAAACCCTCAATGTACAACAACAACAATGTCAACAGCAACAACAACAGCAGCAGCAGCAGCAGACTGTTGCGTTGGTCAGTCCAAGAGTTGAGCAACAGCAACAGCAGCAACAACCTGCGGCTAGCGATCAACAGCAGACTGTAGCTAGCAGTTCAACCCAGTCAGTGAGCACGTCTCAAGCATCTACAGGACACAAACGCCCCAGAACTTTAGATTCAACTGCATCAGGATCTGGAATTGAAGGCATGGACCATAGCAGGCAAGAGCAGGTACTTAGCCCCAAGGCCAAACGAACCAGACAAGAAATGACGTCCACTGCCAGTGCAAGTGCTTCGGAAGTTGAATACCAGGTGAAGTTACGCTGCAAGAATACTCTGTAAGATGTAATAAATGGTAACTGTGCACGTAAATAATAAAATGTTCATTCAAATCTCAGGTACCAACCTCGAGCCAACGGGATCAGGATGAAGAAGTAGAAGAAGGGTGCGTAGTTGTAGTAGACTGCGATGAAGGTGAAGGAGGAGGTAACCATCAGGCCCAGGAAGAAGAAGAATTTGACAATGATCCGTACGAAGAGATGGAAGAGGAAGAAGAAATGCCATACGAGGTTGAGGGAGAGGTAGAAAGAGACAATAACGAAGTTGAAATTATAATGGGTGAAGATTCTACGAGCGTGGAAGTTCCTAGACAAGCTCAAGTAACGGTGCCTACGAATCAACAACAACAACAGTCTGAAGCGATAAGTAGCGCTGGACCAACTGGAGAACCAGCCACCTCGTTTACAACGCGGTCGTCGCGTGGTATTGCACCCATGCCTAGACAACAACAACAACAACATCTGCTTTTGGTTCGTAAATTTGCAACAGATGGAAACAGTACGCAGTTGTTAGATTATGAAATAAATCGTCTTTACAATATTTCATCGCCTTTCAGCCGCAACAAGGTTACGAGGATGGCGGTGACGATAGTATAGTACCGAGTACCCCGACCCTGTTCGTTCCACGTCGCGGAGATGGATTCGGCGAAGCAGTCAGCTCACCTCAAGTTCCTCAGGGGCGTTTCACCTTTGGAGATTCATCTGCACCGACCACTGCATCGTCAACCCCTTCCTTATCAACGCCATCGGGTTCAGCAGCTCGAACAATATTCGGTTCATCGAGTTCCAATGTGGCACAGGTAGTTCAAGAAAGTATGGACGATAGTAGAATGGACCTGACACAACTAGAAGATGGCGGTACTGGCCGTAGCGTACCTACAACACCTTTACAAGTTTCCCCGGCAGCTGATTTACCACCCTCGGTATAAAATGAAGAATCTCTTTGTGTTTTATCACATTGTGATGTAATGATAAATTATTTAACCAACGAATTCATTTGTAGACGAGCAGTGGGCCATCCGAGGAGCAGGAGACGTTGGTTTCAGTGACACCCGCGTCAGTAACAGGTACCACAGTTGGCGATGCCAGCGAAGAACCTGCGATACCTAGTATACGTGTAGTCGGTGTTGACGATCAACAACATAGTCAAACTGAAATAATCACAGAATCTATGACACCGACTGAAGGTAGTGATCGTTAATATTTCTACGAATTCGTTCATGTCTAGACAGAAAAACAATGGTTAAAACAATGTTTGATACATTAATATTGTTCGTTGATACTGTAAAAATAAATATAGACAATGGAACATACAATGATCGGTGAATTGTTCATTTATACGTATAGGTATGAGCTCGGAGAGTGAAAAACGTACAGAAGAAGCTGGCCCTTTAATGTCTGGCGAAGATGACGCGGTAGACACAGGTGAAGGAACTGAGGAACCAGGAAGTGATATAGTGGAGGACGAAGTTGAAGAGGAAAGTCGTGAAGCGGAAGCATGCCCGTCCAGTAATACGCGGCATAGAAGAATGGCAGCAGTCGCAGCAGCAGCTGCGGCAACAACTCCCGCGAACGGCACCAGAACGGCGACTGCCAGAAGATCATCGCGGTCGCCGTTTAGAACAGCACGTGGCACTAGACCTACACCTATCGTTTGGGAAAATCAATCAGGCAGGGGTAAGTAATATTGTTGAATAACAATAGGTTCGTGTACGATATTGTGAATGATATGAATATGATTCAAGGGCAACCTATAGTACGCGGCCATGCGGCGAGAGGAGCAAACAATGAAACCGGAAGAGGGCGTGGAACAAGAGGACGCCGAATGCGCTCTAAATATCCGTCATACGCGCGATTCTAAGACTAAAAAGTTGTTTCTGCGTACGAAATCGCGTGAAAGATGCAAACCACTGTTTTCGAGCGCGAACGGTGTAACGGACTGGTTGGCTGTTAATATATCAATTTTCAAAATGAAAATATTTTTATTTAGCGTTAATCAGTTAATTATGTTGTACAGATAAATCGGTCGCTGCGACACTTAATTCTGTATCCTGAAAACGAGACTGTAACATCGTTCTAGCAAAGACGATTGCATCCATATAGTTTAAAACCGCGAAACTGTCTGGGATTAACAGCAACTATACAACCATTTTCTCTAATATTATTCTCAATAACTGAAAGAGACATTCCTTTCATTGAGTTTCCCCTTTTTTGGTTCTACTCGCGAGAACGCCGATGGAAAGTATATAGCATTTAAGTTGTCTTATTTATTTACTTGTAGAAAGTAATTTTTATGCGGATGTTGATCGATTGTCATTGATCATTGGCAGTGTCACTAACGTTTCTCAGAAATGACAATTTTTTTAACGAAAATATCTTGTCGGAAAGTATGAGTGTCGTCTCTATCCTTTTTTTTCTTACTGAAACATGTTTTATTTCTCAGTGTTTTACAGATTTAAATGGATATGCTTATTACTTCCACGTGTCACCGATGAATATTAATAAATACTATATAAAATAAATACCTACGATCTATAAATGTCCGCTCGAATATAATAAATACGAGGTATTAAGATGCGCACAAATACAATATATTTTACATGTACATCAGTCTCTTAACCGATTCAACGTGTTGCCCGACATTAATACTTTTCGAATACTTCCGAGTACCGCGGGTTATTCCAACAGAGGGCGAGAACATTTTAAAATTACCGACGAGAACGCTTAAATACTGAAACACGACACGAATAAAGATATCCAACAATTTACACATTTATACACAGTGTCGTAACTACGAGACTGTCATTGCATTTATCAACTAATACCGTAATATTAAAGTAATATCACAATGGTGAACAGAAACACGACTGTTCTCTTCGCCGGAAACGAGCTTGGTATGCTAAATTTTAACGTGTTAACACGTTCTGGTCCCATTCAGTTCAATTACCGGACTATTCACGGCGTTTATTAATAATAGATATGACTAGTTTAAATAGTAACAATTTGCACTATATCACGTGACTCCTGCAAAACAGGTGTCCGGCGATCGTTCCTTGACTTTTACCGTCGAGAAGACAACACAGTCATGTTGTTGGGCATCGAGCCAATCTACTTTCTGCGTTACAGTCTAAATGCACGCGTTGAACTAGAAGCCGATATCGGTCCATCGGGAAAGACGTGAACACGAAAATCGGCACGGAACGTTTCTCAATGATCGTTCATTGTCAACCATCAAATAAGAGTCACGTTCGGCTGTAGATGCTCTAATCGACGTCGGTCGTGCGTCGTGGTGATCTCGCAGGAGCAATTCCCGTGTTGCTCGACCGTGATCCATTGTTTCCTGATCCCCTTGGTCTCCAGGCTCAAAATCTGGGTCTCCACCTCCTCGTAGTAAATCGACGACACCACTGGTTTGCAGCTTCTGTCCGGGTTGGTGCAGCAACCGGAGTGCACGTCGCAGCGTTTCAATACAATGTAAGCAGGCTGCATGACACTGTCCCCGGTATTCTGTTGAACGTTCTGCATCAGGTCCCTCAAGTTGTACGCCCGGCTCTGCGGCTCCACGCAGGTGAAACTCCGGATCATGTTCACCGCGCGCGGCAAATTGATCCTCCGGGCCGGCCGATGATGGTGATGGCCGTGCTGGCCGTCGACGTTCGCCGTTAACTGGACCACATTGTCCAAAGTCAACGGGACGAGCATCATCAGCTTTAACAGGGAGCTCTTCAATAATCTACTTCTCATGCCTCGGACTTGTCTACGCGTTTGTCCCGATCTTGACTGAAACTTGCTCACGTGCATAAATTACACGCACCACTGCCGTCGTATTGAGAGGCAATCGACTGAGAGCTTCCTGCTGCCAGAAGTGTATTTATACGTGGAACAGCCTGCACACACGCGGAAGATGCACACGCATCGATCCGGATCCATGCACGTTGCAGGAAAACTCTTGGTATCCTGCGAATCGCCAGCTAATACTCCTTGTGTAACACTTGAAAAACCAGTGTATTTTCGTGTATGGTAGTTACCACTGTCTCACTGGCGGACACGTCAACGATCACGGCCCCTTACCCGCTTCCTCGACTTCCATGGGTAGTATCCGTCAAGCCGTGACTTCTTTCTCGAACACGACGCTGCGGTCAGAATCACGTGGACGTTCGATTCGAAAATTTTACAGGAGACCTCGACGAGTTTACTCTCATCGCGGACCGGCTGTCCTCTCAACGGTCGTCTTCTGATAACGGAAGGCGAAATACATATTTATATAAAGTGCGAACTTCGACTTCTAGCGTATTAATGCGATATAGCAACGGTCACCACCCATGTACGATAATTTAAGCAGAATTTTAATTGCTCCTTATCGGCCCGTTGAGTAATACCAGTGTTCCAATGTTTACGATCATCATCGTTTGGGGCGTTACTGACGATTCAGGAAGTTCAAACGCTTTGCGAAAGTTCAATCGAATTTTCTTTCCTTATTTACGCGTGAAAATTCATTGAATCGTACTACCGTAATTCGTGTGTTTACTGTCTCTGCGAACGTATAAACCGATAACTTATCGGTTACAAGCTCATGAAGTATTGGTGCACTCTGGGTGAGAAATGTCTTCCTGCTTGTTCAATGAAGTAGCGCACTGTCCCCGGCGAGAAGCGTTTGATCGATGGAATTGTTAGAGAAGATACTCGCATACTGAATGTAGAAGATATTTTCATTGAGAATAAAAAACGTAAAATGTAATAAAGACGTTCTGATTCTTCGTACCTTCGCCTTAGAAAATTTTCTGTTTCCTGTGCACTTCGTTCCGTGGAATTGCAATTGTATCAGTCCAATAAGGTAGGAACGATAAATGAAGTTTCCTCGTCTTTCCAGGTCTTTCCGAGTTCTTTCCAAGTTCTTTCCAAAAACTTGAACTCCACGGGTATCGTTATTGATATCTTCACAATATGTTCTTCTGTACAATTATCATTTAGGTCAGACGTTCAATTTGGTAACCGAATAAAGACGATTAGATGAACTTCTCCGTTCATCCATGCGAAGCACGGTACTACAAATTTATTAATAAACTCGGATCTGGATCATCTTTGATGGTTGGACAATTTTTAGATCACGTGAAATAGAACCGAAGAGTTCTTGAAACTCTTGAAAAGTCTGCCCGAACCGGGAAAGATAAAGAATTCTTATTATTCTAAATATACACAACCGGCGAAGGGTGTTCATATTTAATCGATGATTCACGCGAATCATCGGCTGATCAATTCTGCGTCAAGATTTTTGCGGTTTACAATCTGTGACTTGAGGTTCATTCAACTCTTCGGTTTGGCAATCCGCCACCCACTCAATTTCTCCTTGCAGTTTTAACCCTGCATCTGACGTTGAGAATAGAGATTCCGTTCGATAAACACAATGTGATAAAAATCAATTCTTTCATCCAGATCAGCTGTGTCCAAGAGATCTTCTTTGTTGCGTTCTCCTATTTCCTCCCAGGGAACATAAAACAGAAAAATCACTGATTTCATCTTCTTCGATCGGCAGGCGGACATGAAGTATTCGTGCAATGTTTATAATTGATTATAAATTATAAACTATAAACTAACTATAGTGAATCAGTTCATGGTCATCTTTGCGCGTTTCATCTAGCTCAAGTAGTAAAACGTGCGTAAAACCCTTCAGCAGGAATTCCCAGCTAGACGTTGCGATAGATTCATTAGTATTGTAAAATGCGTGATTAACAGAGTAAAAAAGGCGAGGTATAGTCGGCCCACGTAGCAAGCGGCTCAATTGACGTAACAGGGATATCCCTTGCGGCAGAATAATTGACCGCGTGTGACTATCATTCCGATTTCGCTTCGACTTATGACACTACGGTTATGCGTATTCCCACAAATCGTTGATTCACTGTGTAATTTTAAATGAAGCTTCTATAAATAATTCGCCATTTATACAAGCACCTATTTATTACCGTTTCGACTGATAGAATACATAAATCAACATTGACATGCTTTAGCGTATTAATCGGCGCAATAAGCTTAAGTGGTCGACGCTACGAAATTGCATAATACATTCTTGAACAATCGTTGCTACTAAGTAAAAATCAATTAAAGTGGTACTTTGCTGAAGTTTCTAGCATTAACTTCCAAGTTTAATTTCCTAACAAGTTCATTATCCCATTCCACGAAGCAAAAATCCACAAGGCGTACACCATGGCGAGATAAAAATAGATGTTTCCTGATCGTCCTATAATTCAGTTTGAGAACGTGATACCTGTGGTGACATTTCTGTCACCGGTTACACCCACAGCTGGCATTCCACGTGCGGTTCATAGTTTCGCGACATCATATAGCGCTGACTCAGTTCCACGAATCCTTTGCTAACGGATATTCGTGTAACCCGGCCCCCCAATTTGTGAAATCGATGGCCACTATCACTTGCTGCATACGTAATTCGCCATGCCCGCCATGATCTGTCCACCCTGACGCACGTTGTGGAATCAGACTTCCAACGAAAATCGAGAAAAGGAAAGAAAATCGTTGTGAATGACCCTGTCGCAACCAGACGCCAGGCAGACGAACGCATCACGGTGACTCACTGCAACCTGTCGCATCATATAACACCGCGGATCGGGGGATAGTGCACTTCGAGTCTCGCTGTTGGCCCGGATACCTCTTCCAATGAATCTTTCGATCACGCGAGAATCCAAACGATTCACCGTAACGATTGTATGAAACATTGATCGCGACTTCTATCCATTTAGCTTTTGAGAACAGCGTGTACTCAATGAATATTGCATTAAAATAGAGTGCAGTATACAAAGGATCGAGCCAGGCAATCTTCCAGGTATTTGGAGTAACATCCGCTGACCGATGAAACAATAGAAAATTCCGTTCGAATGAGGAAGGAATCGGTGTCACTGACATCAGCGAATTATCCTGGCACAAAATTCGATCTGGCGGAAAAACAGTACTCCCAGGGATGCAGTTGATGCACCGAAAAGATAACCA